ATGCTAATGATGAAAATTTTCGTTTTTATCAACGGTGTTGGTACGCAAGGAAGAATGTTTTTGTACCCGAGCCCCCTCATAGAGACGAAATTGACTAGGGAATGATTGGCAAACGTTTGCAGCGGTTATCGAAACAACAGTCTTCCTCTAACTATTCCAGGCAGAAAAATTCTTTGGAGAAGGAGCTCGCGAGTTTTCTGTCTAGTTTATTATCCCCTAAGCTTAGCTTTTCTGGTATGGAAGGACCGTAATGGTAAAATGCTCGTTCATCTGCGTGATTGTGTATGGTTCGTGCACACTCCAAGTTTACAGCACTCTTGTAGCTGTCCCAGGCACCTTGCGTTTGGAACAGTGGACGCCTTCATAGGGAAGTTGCATTCCATTTTTGCTACGCAGGGTAGGGGTTCCGACTGGTAGCCTCTTCTAGAGGTGGGTAGCCCGGCGGCATGCAGAACGGTAAAAAAGTACCTGGCAGATGAAAAAGAGGAATAGTTAAAGTCAAGAATTGTCCCTTGTCCAGCGGAACTGGTCCTCCTGGCTGATCTTGCAGTGATTTCTCAGAATATTGAAGTTCGGCTCCTGCAAAGCTCGTCTTTAGAACCTTCACAAATCTTTGTTTTGGCACGAGATCAGGCGCAGTTCAAGGTGTTATTCTTTGCAGGGGATCGGGCGGCTGATCTTTTACAGTTGAAAACTGGTGATATTTTGCATTTTCCGGATAACTCAGGTTTCCTACTCAACCATATCTGGACCAAGACGTTGCGATCGGGGGACAAGCACGTCTTCACCTTCAAGAGGGGTACTAATAAGATGGTGTGTCTCTCGGTGGCCTAGAGCTCTACGTTCGCATTTGAGGCCTTCTGGGAATAGAGCTTGGTTGGGGCTACCTTTTCCGCCCTGTTTCTAAGACAGGGACAGTGTCTTCTCAATGCATGACCTCTTGGGCTGCCTAGACGATGCCGAATGTTTACCCCGTGTCTTTACGCTGGCAGCTAACAAGGGAACACTTCACTCCTCATGGTTTTCGTAGTGGGGCGGCAGTCTCTATAACTGGCTGGTGTAGACTTTCATGCAATTATGGATCATGTTGGCTGGAAGAGAAGTGACATGGCTTTGCACTACATCAAGTTAAAGCCACTGATCAACCCGGAAGGTGCGGCTGCCAGTTTGGCGTATCTTCTGTCTGATGCTGGCGCAGACTACAAATGTTTTGATGCTTCGAGAGGATTTTCTCGGGCTTTCTAAACTGTGCCTAAATGAAATGAAAGGAAAATAGCACAGGGAAGAAAACTGTGATTTATTTAACATAGAAACAAAAACAACAAAAATCTCCCTAATTGCCAGAGGTGTCTCGTTGGTAATAGTAGAGAAATAAACATATAGTAGACTCTTAAGGATGTATGCTTTACGCTTAGGGACATGGGATAAGGATTGGAAGACTTGTTTCTCAAGAGCGCTGTCGGGGTGTTTGGGTGTTTCATACGGTGGCGTATGGCTTGGGTGGCTTGGGTAAAGTCAGATTGATTCCCCATACCTTATTATAATGTCATGAATAACAATACCCAGGGATGAATATTATACTATTCACTCATCCATTCATTCAGTAAATCGAAGTATACATACTTATACGCTCACGTAGCTGAACGTTTTTGAGTAAGGGGGTTAGGGAAGGAGTTCAAGCAATTGGGCTATAAAAAACAGAAAATATGTGGCAGGGAATTATATACTCGCACGCATGCGCACCTTTGGCATGGAAGTACACAAATACAAATCGAATATTTGAGTCAAAAGATGGCACAACAAGCATGAGAATAGTGAGTTAGATTAAAAGACACAACGTTTGTTTAAATGATGTGCTTACTGAGTACAATCGTACAGAATTACAGACTTGTGAAGTAGAGCAACGAACTTTTGCAACACCCTGTAGTGGGCTATTCTGCTGCAGTGGCATGGAATTAAAGAGAAAAAGATGACAACTTTCATTGTGGGGGTCCAGGAAGGAAGTGATCTGGAAACCTTCAAATATCCATAATTAACTGTGGAAGAAGTTGCTTAACTGAACGAAAACCCAAGCATAGACAAGCAGAAAATCAGCATCACTGTTAATTTTAACCACTTGAGCACAACCCTAAGCAAAAAATATGCTCCCGGACTAGGGCTAGCATGGCGAATGAATAGGTCGCGTAATGTTGAGCAGGAGGCAGTGATTTCAATTTTTCATCTTTATACGCCTCTAATGTCTTCCAAAAGGAAAGGCAGATCTAGTGCAGCATCTCAATCTTCTAATCAGTCACCTGAAGAGAAAAGAAGCAAAAATAGTGAAACGGACGAAGTGTTTGAAGCGCTGGAGATGGCTGAAGACGTTGGTCTGAAACTGCAGCATGTGCTGGATAAATTAGAAAAACTCGATTAGATAGAAGCGCATCTTAGCGAGGTTTCTGCCAGTCTTGCTAGTATCGAGGAGAAAGTTTCTTGTTTAGATGAAGATGTACAAGACCTGAAGCAAAAAACAAACAGAGTGGAAAAGAAAGCGTCCAAATTGGAAGAAAGTATCCAGTTCAAAGAGGACGACATTTCAGACCCAAAGAAAGAGCCAAAGGAGTCAAAGTTTGAAATAAATGATCTTCGCAAGCAGTTATTGTATTTAGAAACCTACTCAAGAAGAGAAAATGTTAAATTCTTTGGGATTGACGAGAAAGTGCCGGCTTCTGAAGTTGACTCCCCACCGAAGGATACAAGAGATTTAGTGTTCAAATTCCTGGAAAACAAACTTGGTATTGAAAACCACCGCGGTGGAATCGAGTTCCAGTACTGCAAAGAAAATATTTATACAGAAAGTGGGGAATTCTCCTCTGAGGAAATCCATGCAGCCAGGATAAGAGTCCATGGATTGGAAAAGCCTAACAACAGCAGTGACAAACCTCGCCCAATTATCGCACGTTTCTGACGATATTCGGACAAGGAAATGGTGATGGATCAAGGACGCAAGGAGTTTAAGAGTCAAGAGGACAAACAATTTTCGGTGTTTGACAATATACCAAAAGAACTTTATGAGATAAGGAAAAGTCAGATGAAAAAGTTCAAGAAAGCCAGAGGCAAAGGCTGTACAGTATATTTCAGCAAAGTGCAACCAGATAAGTTATTTGTTAATGGTAAATTTATCCCTGCAAATGCTCCATTGACAGATTTTGTTTAGGTACGAGCACTGCTCTCTGCACATTTCCAGAGATAAAAATGTACATGTAAATATAATACTCTCATTGGAGCTTTTCTTTCACTCTGCTCTCAAATAGTCATGTATTTACATATAATTTCCTCGTAATCTGTTGTAGGCGTTAAGTACATTCACTTTAAAACTTTATTACCGAATCACTGTCTCTAAAGCTCAACTAGGCTTTTTGCTGTTGTACGCAAACATGCAATCTCAAACAACTTTACTTAGTTCCATTCCAGAGTGCAGCATTCGAGATAGTTATCTTGCTGCTCTTTTAATTGTTTGTATCAGTATTAAGTGGTTGTACTCTATTGGTTTTGTTTTCGTGGTTATTTTCCTTTTATTTTCTGTTATTCAAAGCTATCGCAGCTTGTCAATAAAGAATTTCTTTGAGTGTCAGATTGATGTAAATGTGTTGATAAAATTTTCCCACCAAATTAGGTCCTACTTATTCTGGCAATATAGGGCGTAATAACCAGTTCAATCTTTTGTCATTAAATGTTTGTGGGATTCGCACTTTTGAAAAGCGGAAAGCTGTTTTTAGTCGGCTTGTAAATTCCAATGCCCACATAATTTTCCTGCAAGGAATCAATTAAGAAAACGATTAACTTATGGAAATGGCGAGACCTATCTCTTATAGGCAGGATACAAATTGTTAAAACCTTTGCCATCCCTAAGCTTATGTTTAGACCATCGGCTATTTCAATCTCTAAGGATCTCATGAAACAAGCTGAATCGATATTTTATCATTTTATCTGGAACAGAAAGGACAAAGTAAAGCCGCAACACAGTTATTTCAGAAGTTGAAAATAGTGGCTTGAACATACTTAATAGTGAAACCATGATTCAGACCAAGCGAGTGATATATGCTTACAAAAATTTTTAGAGGACTATGAAAGTCCACGGAAAATGTTTTTAGGAGAGCTTCTGAAACCTGTTGGTGCGAAGTTTTTACTGCATTGTAATTTTGAGGTTTCTAAACTGAATATTTCTCTGCCAGCTTTCTACAGGCAATGTCTTGTTGCATGGTCAGAATTAAATGCAAGAGAACCTAGTTCAGTACACGAAATTGTAAATGAAGTCATATGGAACAACAATTTTCTCTTTGTTGATAAGAAATAAGTTTACCGAAGAGATATTGCGGATCAAGGCTTTCGTAAAATCTGGGACTTATTTTCTGTTGATAATGTACGACTTAACCCTGAACAAAGATTTTTCATTATGAGTGTAACTAATTCCATGCCAGCAGCATGGTGTTTGTTAATTCGAACAGCTAATATTGCACCGGTGCTTTCTCCAGTCTGCCGAACACACCAGCTATTTTGATAAATGATATCTTAATTCCAATTCTTCACGCTTCTTCAAAGCACATCTATCGGTCTTTTTTGGCAAAAAAACAAACCACACCCACTGCTAAAGAGAAGCTATGCTCCCTGGTCGTAGGGGCGTGTGTTCAAACTCCAAGTGATCCTTGTATTTTTGTATGTTGTTGAGGGTGATGACCCCTTCATGATAGCTGTTCATGTTGATGACCTGATTCTTGCTGGCACAACTGATCCTAAGATTGCTCAAGTTAAGCAAAGCATTGCAGAAAGATTTGATGTTAAAGATATGGGAGTGCTCAATTATTTCTTATGAATGCAGGTAATTCAGAAAAGTGGGAAAGTCTGGATTGGACAGCCCTCTTATGCTGAGAAAGTGTTTAGTAAATTTGGGATGGACAATGCTAGACCAGTTGACACACCTGTGGATCCCAATTCTAAGCTTTGCAACTTTATTTGATTTACCACAAAATACAAATAACGATAAAACAAGACAGTTACACAAAAGCAAATGAAAGTGGCGAGGAAGCCCAAAAAGAAACCATGAGGCTTACAGACGTTGGGCTCCCTCAGAGTAAAAATAAAGTTAACAGTAACAGTAAGGCCAGGATCGAAAGTAAAATACAGTGAAGGTAAGAATAAATTAACTCATTACATAGACTGAGGTGACAAAATATAAAGTATGGTACATGTAACAATAAGTATTAAAATAATATCAGACATGTGAAGAAAGATAACCATTTACTACAAGATTTATAACTAATAATTCGTATATAATTTTTTCTTCAATTTCGTTTTGAATAAGCGGAGAGAATTAGATTGTTTAATATCATTTTCTATAGAGTTATAATAAGTAGGTCGTTGGAAGCTGACAGAAAATT